TGAATGGAAACAAAAGGAAATCAAATGATGAGGTGCTAGATTTTAACCTACTTGTATCTGTCATAATCTACTTTCAAATGTGTTCTGTATGGTAGCAAGGCTATTTACTTCTCTGGTCTGTGTTCAGAGGAGATTTACCAGAGGCTTCACCTAAATGTATGCCTCCACTTTCTTTTAAACAGCTATAACTTTCAGATGTGTCAAAAAGAGATCAAATCAGATATTATGTTTGAATCTCCTATAATCGTCTCCACAGTGCTCTCTGATAACCAGGCTATTTATATCCCTTGACTATGGTCAGAGGGAAATCACTAGAGGTTTAATCAATGTGCAGATCCTGCAAATGGATTTTGGGCTTCCACTGTCATCCATAGCCTTCTGAAAACTAGGAGTTCTCAATCAAAGCTCTGATAGCAATCCCTTCTTCAGATTTTGGATTTTATTATTTACAATCCTTGAATCATTCAGGCTGGTGTGCTTCTTCTACATGCACTTAGTTGAGGCCTTACTTAGAAGGCTGCTTGTTTGATGATAAGCCTTTAAGACCCAGAAGCTATTCTTTCTGGTAGCTGGGCACCATCTAGTTTCTTCACCACATTTTACTGTAGCACCCCTATCTTCAGTGATCTCATTGTGAGGATGAGCATCTAGCAGGTTCATGTCATAAGCACTACTTGTTCTTACATTGGGGCTAGAATTAAATGTGAGCCCCAAATCCATTCATTTATCTATGATTTGATATGCCTCTGGTTCACCTTAGAGACATCGTTGTCATTTTACGTTAATCATTCTTTTGATAGTGTCATGAATTGAGCCAATGGTAAAGAATTGAAAACATAGTTGAGAAAAGAGGATTGTGTAAGTATAGGCTGGCTACAAACTCCAATACATAAATTATTGACATGTACAGATTAAATTCTTTAGGCCTGGGCATTATTTACATAAATAATGGGTGTTAGAATTAAGGCAAAACTTTCAATAACATTCATTGACAGTGGCAGGTCTATCAGATTAATATATATATTAATTAAGCTAAAAGGGCATTGAAGTAGCAAGTATATGATAGTCCAACCAAGGCATCAACTCAATGGCAGTGAGTGTTTTTTTTTTTTGTAAGATCATGGCCTTCATGTATTAAGATCTCAATTTGAATGGATGTATTCATATATACATATATGAACTCTTTGAAGGTGCACCACCTTCAGAAGAATAAACCTAGATGGCAGACATGCCAAGAAATAATAACTTTATGTTTTAATACTATATTTAATAAAGGCTTCTATGATTTTTATATCAATACTTTTTTTACATTCCTTTATGTTTGTGTATATAGACAAGAGGATGATTTAAAAAAATTCTTGGAAAAATGTAACTACAAAATGATAAAATTTTGCCACTAACAATTGAAAGCACATGTGATCTGTATGTATGTATGTATGTATGTATCCATCTATCTTATCTATGTACACACAACTCAAATCAAACTCACTGTCATCAAGAGTCAATTATGACTCACAACAATAGAATAAAATTACTTCTGCAGACTTCCAAAGCAGTAAATCTTTATAGGATCAGAAAGCCTCAACTTCCTCCCTTGGAGCATCTGGTGGGTTTAAACTGCTGACCTGCTGAACAGTTAGCAGCCCAATGTTTTTATTATACCATCATATATATATGCCACTCTTATCATAGCCATTCAACTTTTGGAGGATCCCTAACTGATACAGGATTTTAGCATCACCAGTTCTTTATACTTCAGGCCAACTCTTGTCATATCCAGTTTGTACTTTATATCTTGGAGACTCTTGCTTCCCCAAACTAGCATCTTGAAGTTTTACCCTACTCTTGTTTAAATGTGTAAATTCTTCCTTGCCCTTACTTTCATATATAGGAACGAATCACTTTTCTTTGAATTTCCACAGCTTTCTTTGCCATTAAATATATTTTGAATATTTGTATTGCTTTCTATAATTTTCCCTAAAAATGAGACTACAAGTATGTCTTACAGAACTCTGGATGTTCTGCAATGTTCAGAGAAGCCATTTACTTTTTACTGAATGAATAGTCAAGTTATATTTACATACAGAAAAAGAAGTCAAAATCTGAAGCTAACTAGGGCTCAATTTTTATTTGTGCCTATTTTACTCGATTAGTGACAGTAGGTAAATTACTTAGTCTTTCAGAGTTCCAATCTATAAAATGGCAATACCAATATTTACAATACTAGGTCTTGGCAAAAACTCATGAGATAATATAAAATACACCAACACGATACCTGACATGTATTGCCCTTCAAAGAAATGGAACTATTTTATAATTACCAAGGCAATATTATTAGACAATAGTTCATCAAATATATATGTGACATATTCTATAAGAGAGAGATTTTGATATGTCCTGTAGGGTAAAAATGCTGAATTAAAAATAACATTTACTGAGTAGTTATTCTATTTCAGACCTACCTTTATGCACACCATTTAACTGTTTTATTTATATCACAACTGTATTGGAAAAACACAATCATTATCCCAATTAATTGATGAAAATGTTAAATGTAAAAAGACTAAGAATTCTAAGAAAGAAACATAGCTGCTAACTGTTGGGGTCAGTATATGAATGAAGGCAGTCCAGTTCCAGAGTCGACGTTTTTCCATTGTGTCAAGATAATCTAGTGCACATGGATTTAGTACTCAAGTGTAATTTCAGACATAAAAAATCCTCAAATATAACCTTCCTTTAAAGGCTGGATTTAAAAGTAACACACACACAAATTTAGAAAAAATAATAATATTGTACAAGTAGTTTTAATATTATTATTGGTATACATATGATATACATTTATTACTCAGAAGGCCATGTTAGAATGACAATACCTATTTGCCCATACACATTGCCCAAGTCTAAGATGTTTCTGTATGTTCTATATCATTTAACTTCTCCTAAGGTTATTATGCACGTGTGAATTAGCATAGGAAACTTTTCCAAATAAATAAACAGACCTCCATTTCTACTCATGGGATAACCCTAAATAGTGTTTCCGAGACTGCAGTGCTCTCTGGGAGCAGAGAGGCTCATCTTTCCCCTGCAGAGTGCTTTGGGGGTTTGAACAGTTGGCTCGTGGTTAGCAGTCCACTGCCTGACAACAAGAAAGGTATTTCTAACAGTAATGTCATCTTCAAATAGTTATCGAACAATTTTTCAATACTAGTTATTTTAGTTTCATATAAAAATGAATACACTTTGGTAGATTCATTTTAAAGATAAAATGATTGAAAATAACAAAAACTGAGTATGCATCTTAAAATACTAGTAGCTTTCTAGATTAAAATTCCTTACTTTGTATAGATTACCAGTGAGTAATATAAAGACTATCTTTGGAAGAGAGTCATATTGACTCAATTTCCTAATCCAGTTAATCAAACATTTCATGCAAGATTGTTGCAATCAAAACTCGAGCTAACGTTATAGAGCTTTCAAAAACATTCTTGTGATATTAAATGTATTAGCTTTACATAGCAAACATTTTGAAGCATTTTATTGGATGCACAGTAAGCAAAACGTGAACACACAGTTTTGCTTCACTCTGTAAATCTCACTGCTGAGCACCAGCTCTCAGAGAACTTCTAGATGCCCTTTTAAATACTTCTTCCTGCTGATTCTGACTTAGACCAGCATTCCTAAAGGTTTTCTTTGAAGCATATTAACTTCTTATTGAATCAATTCTTTTATGACTTCTAAAAAAATTGGTATGCTTAATCACATTATACCCCTAAGCGAAGTTTACTAATCCATCAGCCTTTATATTCTTTTATAAAAAATCATTTTAGCATTTTGTTTGCTGTCTCAAAAGTTAAGTCTATTAAGGTTGACTCACTCTCATATTGTCAACCCGATTATCTAATTCACTGCTCTTTTCCAAATGTAGAATTTGATTTTTCGGATTATGATTTTAGGTTTAGAGCTCGCTAACTACAAAGTAACAACTTTATTTTTTAAACTCTCTCTTCAGTTTCACTCATTTTTTTTTTCAGTTTTCCAATAACAACAGAAATCAGGTCTTTGAAGAACTATGAGTACAATGCTTCCATTTCTCCATTAATATGCAGTGACGTGAACTAAACAATTGCTCAAATGTTATTGTAGGTCCGTGTCCTGGAGTCAGTTCCAACTCACCATAACTCTATGCACACAGCAGATTAAACCCTACTCCTGCCCCGTCTTCAGTCTTTGCTCTATCTGAGTTTACTGTTGCAGTCACTGTGCCAATCCATCACAGTAAGGGTCTTTCTCACTCTGCTGGCTGTCTGTCCGCCAAGACACTTGGTGTGTTCTTCCGGCAGTCCATTGTGCAGTCCACATTCCTCAGCACCACCATCATTCCAAGAGATCCGTTTTTCAGTCTTCCTTCTTCAGTCTGCCTTCCACATATACGTATGAAGCTACTAAAAATATTATGTCTTGGACTTAGATTAGGCACACTAAAATATAAGTATGCCCTTTTTCTATGTTTTAATAGTTAAATGTTTATTTTGTTGTTGTTGTTGTTGTTAAAGTCTTTGATTATTCTGTTTCTTTTGATGCCTTATTTTGGATGATAACCAAATTCATCAAAGCCCCTGACCTCTGCTCCTTTCTGTCATTACTAGGTTAGTGCGTTTATATTTCGTCTGCCTAGTGTAAGGTTTAAATGTTTTTAGAGAACACTGAGAAGCTGTCTGTTTTGTTTCCTATAGGCAATGATAGTGCAAATTATTCTACAATAGTCAAAATCGTTCCCCAAAAAGTATATGCATGATATTAAAGAAACTACAAAGAAAGTTTTTGACCTAAAGAAAAAGTATTTGAAGAAAACAATCTTCCCATGCTACTTATGACGATATTACTTTTGTACAATAATACATTTTCAGGAAATGATAATATAGAAGAAAATTTTGTATGATATGTAATAAATTAGTAATATTACTACAATGAAATCAAACAATACTACATACTCATTTTACCTTTGCATTATAGGGAATGTAGTGTTTTGATAAAGCCTCAGGCGTATGCATCCATGTTTTGTCTGCAATGAAGAATACACAGTGTTAAATTACACATTGGGCCTAAGATCTGCTTTTTATGCATTAGCAGTTTAGGGAGTACAAAATACATAGAAGTAATTCTAATTCTAAGACTTTTCAGGTAAGTTGATAAGAAAAAATATAAAATATCAATGTTTCTGGTATAAATTTATTAAGATTCTCTCCATGATTTAAAGTCCCCAACTGTGCTTTTGAAAGGACTTCACAAATAGGACAGATAATATTCATTTCTGAAAAACAGAAATCTCAAACTCACTTCAATCAAGTAAACCTAACTCAGTTACTCTATAAGGCAGAGTAGAACCGCCCTATGAATTAAGAACATAAATTTTTACCAGATTAGAAAGTCTCATCTTTCTCTCACACAGTGGATGGCGGCTTCAAACCGGACTACCCAATGGTAAGCCACTATGGCTCCAGGGCTTTTAGGACATATAAAAATGACAGCTGAGCCTCAAATAAACAACCTATCAATGGTAATTAAAATCACACATCTTTTTTGGTTATGTACTCATAAATTACAGGTTACAGGTTCTTTTGTTGTTAATTCAGATCAACAAAAAGTATTCAGTTTTTTACTCGATGTAATTGATATTTTTTTTTGCAGATGGAATTAACTAGATATTAAAAGAAAATTTTAACCTTAAAATTATAATTAATAATTTTAGTTCTATAAAACTGAAATAACACAAACTTGTGTTTATTCATAAATCAATCTAACATTAGAAAAACTATTTTATTGATTTAGGCAAATTTGATGAAAGGCCTACTATTTCATGTAGTAATCTGGAATGTTTCTTAGATAATTGTTATAAACTGTCAGAGATGAAATTTAACATATGAACCTATAATTGTATTAAATATATTGGTAGAAAAGAAAAAAAATTCTCATTCAATTCTTGACTTCATTATAGTATCTTGTCAAGTGCTTAGTACGATGTGTAGAGAGAGTAAAGCAAAAAACAAATGTTTATAGATGTCAAGTAGACTTTTTTTTAGATGAAATGGCATGTTTGAAATAAGGCTAGAATCTTCAACTCTATTGTGATCCCTAATACAATTTTGATTTCAATCTTGAAATTTGTTTCTATCTTATTTTACAGGTATTTGCAAATTTAGAATAAAAATATAAACAGAAAAAAATCAAAGGCTGAATTGACCATCAAATACATTAGGTAAATGCTAAGATAAAAAATTAGTTTACTAACAAAGCTTTTTCAAAATTCAATTTGGAACATCTTAAAAATGATTTGGCAGAAATTAATTTGATATTAATTTGTTATTCCCCAACTGAAAAATATGTTGGCACAGAAAATGTGACTTATAGTCTTAGAATAACTTTTTTATTTTACAGTTTAATGAAAAATGTACTGAAAATTTTGAAATAAGAATTTTTATTTTTAAAAGAACTTTTTAGTAAAAAAATAGGTTGTTGCTATTTAATATACTGTATTTTTAGTGCATTCCTACTATATATATCTATATAGATGTAGATATATTGGAATTCAAGTGTAGTTGTTACACCTTGAGCTGAAATCTTCAAGGTCAGCAGTTCTAAACCACCAGCCGCTCTGTGGAAGAAAGGCTAGGAGCTTTCTACTCTCATTACGAGTTACAGACACAGAACTCAGAGGGACCGTTCTACTCTGTCCTATAGAGTCACTATGAGTTGGCACTGACTTGATGGCTGTGAGTTTTTGTTTGTTTGTTTGTTTGTTTACAACATGTATTTGGGATACAGATATTACATTCACAAGGTTTTGTGAAAAAATACATGAGAGAAATAAAACTCCCTTCTCATGACACCATTTAGTGCTGTTTCTGCCTATTAGAGTGGATATATATGCTAATCTTGGATGAAACAGTAAGAGGAGGTTCAAAAACAACATTGACATTGATAAATTAATTTATAAAATTTTTCCCTGTATGAATTTTATTGTTTATTTTTTCTATACTATATGATAATAAAATTCATGTGATATGATTAATTCAATAATAAGTATATTTTAACAAAAATGAAAAAAAAGGTTGTATTTTGATTGGGGCTATAAACTTGCTCCTATACTCTAGCGCAAAAAGTAAGTCACAATAAAAACACCAAAAATCAGCCTTAAGGAACAGGTATCCAATTTCACTTTTTACCCTTTAATCCAACTTTCTCTTGTCGCTCTTTCCAATATATATATATAAATTCTTAGGAAGACATGGAGTCTGATTTAAGTCTGAATATAACACTTTATAGCAATCCTGAGGCAGGGAGATAATTGCTTTCTCCTGAAAGTTGCTATTACTTGAAAGCTGATAATACTGCTATTAGTGACCTAGAAAAAGAGTGGCTACACACAGATGTCTCCGATGAAGGGACTAAAATAACCACAAGATTAAATTGCAAGTGAATGAACTATAGTTTCTCAATAATGAGAATAAGCATCCATTCTATATTATTGAGTGCTGATGTTGTAGTGGCTGTTCATTGCCCAATGAACAGAGAGAGTTCTCTAACAGAGAGAGTACACTTAAAATACCTTAAGGCTTTATAATCCTTCAGAAGGATTCGCAAAATATATCTTTGTACTTATCTTAATTTATAATTCTGCAAAGGGAAAGAAAGCAAAAGAATAAGACTCTTAACTAATTCATACAGATGGGGTTGAAACTTGATGGGAGAATAAAACTGGTCATCTTTGGTCACAATCAAGTGCTCACAACAGCAGTTAGATATTAAACTCATGCAAAAACAGGATTGTAGGCATTCTACAGTTTGTCTCTTTTCCTTGAAAATAAATTAGAATCACTAGTTCACTATTCAACACCCACATGAAATGCCAACATCTCAAATTACTTCTAGAGTCAAACTACTCTGACTGCTGGGTCAATAGACTTTCATTTTCAAAGTGCATTTAGATTAAGAGCTCATCAAGAGAGAGCAGTGATTTCATTATTGTGATATCACCAGGGTTTAACATAGTGAAAACATCTCCACTTAGGATATCAAATCTAAAACTAAGCATCAAGTGATAGAACTTTATTTAAATAAAATTTTCATAAAAATTAAAATAATATGTACATATATTTTTTAGTTCTTTACATGATGATATCTACTCATCAATGTGTCAACAGATGAGGTAAAGGAGAGAGTGCAATTAGTTTAACTGCTCAATCACATTGATTTACATGCTACGTTTCAGGCTCCTTTATTCAACAATTTTTAAAATGAAATGAGTAGAATATAAGATTTTTAAAATTCAGTGAGTAAACTAGTCTAGTCAAAGAAGGTACAAAATAAATATATTCATTATAATTTAATCTATGATTTCATGATTTTGGATTAATTTTTATGTAAGTATTATAATAGTTCTAAAGAATGCAATGCTGAGACATTCCATACTTTTTAGAATCTATAAGCAACTCTAATATATGAGAGCATATGCAAACAAGGTCAGTGTAGTATCTGCTAATGTGGTTAAAAAAGATCAAATTACCAACTGGAGACTTAATCCAAAGAGGGAGGGAAAAAAACAACTCGTGCTTAAGGTGCTTAGGTTGACGTTGATTACTTCTTTTCCCTTGGCTTCTGAAGCTCTAGGTCATTTAATAAAATTGCACATGGTCACTAAGTTAATTGGATATTTAATAAAAATTAGGTAAACTTTTAATAATAAAAGATCACCTTGCTGTTTAGAATGCCATACACAGTGCATGTTGCCAATTAACAGAAATATGAGTTTAATTATATATTCTTTAAGGGTTTAACTACAGACCATATTATCAATGTATATGAAATCCTCTTGTAAAATTAAAGCTTTCCATTTTAAATTAAAGTTAAAACAAAAAGTGCTATTGGTTGAAGCCAGAGGCAGAAGCACAAATGTTTTTCTTTTTAACAACCTCAGTCAATGAAAATTAAGATTGACTCATGAAATCAAGGTATTCCATTTAATATCAACTTCTTACTTGAATTACAGTACTGATTAATAACTTTGCATATGCATAAGCATTAAACTTTAAATATACATTTTAAATGAAAAGAAATTTCAAGTGAATGAAGCATGCAAAAAATAATAGGGGATTCTGCTTCTCAGTTCTCCAAATCAGTCTAATTTTCCCAATGATTGTACTCTGCTGTGCTCAGATGTCATATATATTTGCCTTTATACCTGCTATTTTCTTGAATTACTATCCAACTCTGGGTATTTCTTAACAAAATGCCACTCAACATGTATCAAACAAATAATAAATTAGAAATGTGGAATTTAAACATTAAAACCATGGGAAAGAGAATTCCATATTTTAAAAAGGAGACGGCCCATAAGATTTTAAAATAAGATAGTTTGATTTAGTTTTTAATACTTTTTAAATTTTAATAGCTATAACTCAATAGATATTTAAAAGTACTTCTACACGCTGTTACGGAAAAGGAAATAAAAAAGAAATACCACTTTTGGCATATGTTTTAAATAAGACACTAGCTAATAGCATCAATAACTGGCATTTTAGAATATCTTTCTTTAGTAAAATGAGTATACAACTTGAACAATGTCTTAAAGATTTTCCTAAACTGATACTGTGAACTTTAATCATCAGTACCCCTTCCAAATGTTTGAACTTCTGTCAATTCAAAGATTAAATATCCTTAGTAGGAAATTATTAATCAATATTGTAATTTAAGTAAGAAGTTGATACTAAATGCTATATGTTAATTTCATTAACCAATTTTGTCTCATTGAGTGAGGTTTTAACGAGAAAGACTTATTAGAGCTTCTGCTTCAAACAATAGCACCTTTTGTTTGAGTAGTTTTAAAATCTGTTTCATGGTTTGGTTTGGGATTTTTTCCCCATTAAATCAAAGACCTTATCATGCATGCCAATTTGTTTTTTCTAAACTGAGTAACACAATATTGAAGGGTAATGATGATTACGACACCAAGGGAATCTTCGCTCTTCTTCCTGTAGCATGGCTCCGAGTCAGGGCATCATCCCAGTCTTTCTCAGCGAGGCCTGTGCCAGTGTGCCAACAATTGCATGCAGAGAATACTCTATTTCCTGGCTCTTGAATGTTTGCTACCCATGTACTAGAGAAGGCACTAGAGTCTTTGATAGTCACATTGTTGACATTATTTTCAGCCATTTTCAGCACACACCGATCTTTAGGTATAACTTTGAAATACGATTACTATAGGAATAACAAAGGTATTTAGATTTTCTAGACTGTTTGGCCACATCAGCAAAGATTTATCCCATTCAGGTCATTCGAATTAATTCTACTTTGAGGAGACAGCACTTCTCTGATCATACTTGGACTGCTTTTTAACTTATGGGGCTAATGTCTCAGCCCTACATCAGATAGTATTCTCCTTTCTCTCATAAGCTTCTCACTAGCCAGTCTTTGTTGTTATTGTTGATTTTCTTTGGCAAGCTACAATATCTAATACAGTCATGGAGTTACTAACATTCAAAATTGAGTAAAAATGTAGCAACATTTTTTGTTTTTTTAATTACTAATTAAGTTTACAGGGCTGAACATGACAGAACTTGTAATTCTTCCATACATGTGGGCAATTCAATTACACAGGTTATCTCTTCCTGCTTTAAGTCATCTACTAACTTGATTAGCATTGTTTAGGCCTTTTCTTTGGCAGCATATGAAACAGAGAACCCTGTGCCCAATCTAGAGATCTTTCCAGAATGACAGATATATTATTTTGACTCCAAGTTAGAAAGAAAAGAAGGAAAAAATGAATTTGTTTCTACTAGTCTATCAAGTATCTTATCAATGCACTGTTGTCTTGCCCCTTTAAAAAATACCATATAATTAGCTAACTCATTCCTCAATAGGTAATTTTGATATCCTATTTATATATTTCTGTTCAATCCCTACCTGAAGTTAATAATACATTTATTTTGGCCTCATTCTTGTCAATTCATCTCTCAGCAATACCCAGTAGTATTCAATGAAACACAAAACATGCACACACTTGTCGTGCACATGTTCATACATTTTTACCACTATTAATTTAAGGTCTGAAGAATTTAATATTATGTGGCTATATAAGGGTGAAACTGAAACTAGACCTCAGATCACTTAATTCTTTACTATTTCACAAAATCATTAAAAAAATGTCTTGAGTATATATATTGCCACCTTAGCACTGTGTATTAAGTGTGTTAATAGAAAATTACCCTTCTAAGTCACTCACACATTTATTTTTTTTTAACTGGGGAGTTAAATAAGTCATTCTTTCATTCGGCTGCTAACAAAAAAGGTCAATTAGAAATGTTTCCAGATTTGTGTTTCTCTATTCTAACTTCACTTCTGAGAAATCTGGTTTGATAGTTGGAAAAACTGATTACTTAAGATCTTTGCTTGGCTTTCTGAATAATACTGAATTACCTCCAGGTCCTTTAAACGAGCACACTTACCTTTCTTCCTGCTAAAAGCACGGTTCATGGTGAGGATCAGCCAAAATAATGTAAGAGTCAGTCACACTTTAAATCCTATAAAAATAACAAAACAGATATATTTTTAATAAATGATGAATTATTAAGCTAGGGAAATTCAAACATGAAGCTTTTAAAATGTTTTATTAAATATTTACAAACAACATACTAAACTGTTCCAAAGGATAGTAGATCAGAGAAAACACAAATAACCAATATTATGAAGAGTACAAACATATTAAATATCAAAAGAAATTCCTCCAAAGTTGTGTCTTTTCCCCTATGATCTGCCCATCAATAATTGTATGGATCTGAAATTTTAAACTCAAAAAAACTCACCACCATCAATTCCAATTCATAGTAACTCTAAAGGAGAGTGTAGAACTAACTGCTCCTATGGGTGTCTGAGACTATAAAGCTACTTCTTCCTAAGTTTAATGATAAGGTATTATACACTTTTATGCTGTCATTAGCAGCTATGCTAAACTGAATATTTCATTTGTGGCTTTTAGGAGAAAATTACTCTTCTAAGTCACTCACACACACTTTCTTTAAAAACTGGGGAGTTACATAGAATGCAAGTCATAGAGGCAGGTGGTACAGGAGGGACAGTGGGGAGGGACCTACTGCTTAGGGCTGCTATGGAGATCAGATGACCTAGGGAAGCACTTGGCACCGTTTTCTTTTCCTGATAGATGTACCATGAAATCCAAAGCTGCTGACCTCGTGCTCTATTCCCTGCAGGCATCGGGCACTGGTCCCCTCAGCATCCATCCTAAGCTTTGCTCTGAGGTAAGAGCTGTACTTCAAAACACAGAGTTTTCGCTAAAGAACTCCACGGGCTATGAGGTGACTATCCACCTGAGACGTTTCCATTTCAGTCTACCAAATGTCTTCATGCCAGAATGTAAAACAATAATCAAAGATTTCACGAGCGTTTCCTCAGACACTCAGAGAATAGTCATATTAAGATTCCAGTTAAACATTAAAATTAAACATAAACATGAATTGCATTGTCATCTATATTTAGAGGCAATGAAAATGTTTATCTTAATGGACTGTTGAAATTGGTTGTTTTTGTTTTTTTCTTCTCTAACAGTAAAACATCATTCAGGGATTGATAGCAAGATAGTATCTCACTGCTAATTAATCTTCTATAAAGGCTAGCACTACAGGTATATTTCAGAATAATTCTAAGCTACATTTAGAATTAAAAATATTGCTATTCTTTCAAATGCTTACATTTTCTCACTTACTAGCTTAAAATCAATCACATAAAATAAAACTTTTGAATGACCCGCCCCCTTAATAACCCAGAGGCCTTCCTCAGTAAAAATCAAAGGAAATCTATGTACTTAGTATGAGAGCCATAATATATTGAACTCTTCAGAGTTCAAGAGGGTAATAAGACCCCCTCTCTCTTGTGCTGCCCACTGTTGCCCCAAAGTCCCAGAACTTGTAAAGGGATCTTTGATCAATCTCACTCCAATACTCAAAACCTCCACAATAATGGTTTCTCCTGAGAAACCATAATGCCAGTCATCATCAACCAGAGTGTCAGACTCGTCTACTCCCCAAGACAAATCCTTAAAACTGTATACATTGATACTACTATGTTCTAGCTGTCACGCATTCATCTCAACACATTATTATCTTCATATCCAGCCTTAATTTCTTGGTCAATTTATACAGTCAATTAGTTTGCTTCTAGCCAGTTTTTCAGAGTCTTTGCTCCTGCTTGTTTCTTCTAAAACTTATTGCTTCCATTTTTTCTTAAGTATCCAGAGACAGTTTATCTCTGACTGAATAGCTGGGAATGACTGTCTTAGACACAAACTAACGCTCATAGGTTACTTTAAGTACCTTTAAATATTCCTGGAAATAGTACTATTTTTAGGTAGTCCATTATTCTTGCAGTCTTTTAAAACAGTTCCCAGCATTCATTGTGCATCACAATCATCTGGAGGGTTCGTTATGCCACTGGTTGCTGAATCTCATTCAGAAATTCTAGGTAAGGCCAGGGAATCTGCATTTCTAATACTGTCTCAGGTTATACTGGTGCTGTTAATTCAAGGAACACACTTGTAGATTTCTATTTAAACCTCCTCCTACTGCCGTGTCCCCTGAAGCTGTCCACACTGTGGACCAGGTCCTGAGTGAGGTGAGCCCAGTGCTGGCTCCTGGGGGCCGGCTCATCTCCCTGACCTCTGTGGCTTCCCGCTTTCAGAGTAGGCACTATGCCCAAACTCGTTATGGCTGGTCCCTGAGGCACGCAACCTAAGGCAGCGGTTGCCACTTCCACCTCTACTTCATGCACGAGGGTGGGGAGCCAAGTGTGGCTCAGATGGCCCTGGGAGCCAAGTCAAGCTCCTCGCACCCACTAGCCCCGCAACCTCAGCCTGCTTCCTCCAGGGCTCAGCTCATGCGGACTTCCCCAGTGCCATTCAGCTGCGAGGCCGAAGTCCTCACGCTCCCACCCTTGGCCTTCTTGCCCTGGGCTCCTCAGGGAGTGGGACTTCTGAGCTCAGGACCTGGGGTTGGGTCCAAGGTGCTCACAGCTCAAGGGCCTCATGCCTAACAGAAGACTTACTGCAAGCAAGCCCATGTAAACCAATACATCTCAGCTTAGGTTCGATCTCAAAAAAAAAACAAACAAACAAAAAATAAAAACACCTACTCCCCGAAATCAAATTTTCAACTTTCTCTTCCACCCTCTTTCTGATCATGGCCATGTTTAATTGAGAAAAATAAACAACAACAAAAGAATTTACACACACACCACATTGCTCAGACAACAAGTATTCACCTGGCACCAAGTACTTAACCCTGCATTAGATTTATTTTTCTATTTCTTATTGATAGACACACTAATAAGAATCCCATTTTCTTCTTTCCTTCAAATTACTTGAAAGAGCTGTTTCTATCTTTTGTTCTATATTTCTCTCTGACATTGCCTTTGGAAGGTACACAAATCAAGACTTTTGCTAGCACTCATTAAAACAACTCTTACCCAAGTATGAAATGGTGCTTGGTTTGCATGATTCAATAGTCTAATTTACATTCATGCCACTTAATGTCTCAGTAGCTGCAATGCAATAGATGGTTCAATGAAGCGCATTTAGCCCTAGCCTTCATTACTGCCACCAAGTGGCCTTTGTTTTCCTGATGGAGCTGGGGAGGAGGGTAAGGGGAAGACACAGATCGGATTATATGATTCTGCTGAGTGACAGTGAACAGGGTTAAATGCTTGTCATCTGCCGGGTATAAAGTGAATCATCTCAGAAATAGGTCGGTGGGGAGGACTTCATGACCAGGCAAAAGAACCAGGAGTGGGGAGCATTGTTAAGCTCTGAGATTCCTCCTGCACATTGAAATCCAGTGATTCACGAGACTTCTTTGACACCAGAGGAGCAGTGGAAACGCAGCAATAGCAGAACTAGATAGAAGCCAGAGCAAGAGATAGAGGAGCGGATCAACAAGCCCACAAAGCAAGGAATGCTGAATGCTTTGGGGCAGAAGACTGCCTTAGAGTGTAGGGTTCTTCAGGGCACTTAATTGAGGGGACTAGATTTTGTAGACTATTGGTATTGGAATGGAGTGTCTTTGGGCTGAGGCACACAGAGGAGTGGTCAGTCCTTTGGGCATTTATTGGCATCTATAGAAGAACTCTGTAGTGGTTCCAAAGCAGGGCCGAGGCCAGGCCAAGCAGGCTTCCGGCCAGAATGAGACTTGATTGTGAGGCTGCGAAGAAAATGCCCTGACGGAACAAACTGCATCCTTAGCATTTCTCTCCTGAATGATCACCCGTTAAATGCCCCAAGAAATCCCATAATTACATATGTGTTTGTGCATGCTTTCACAATTTGTATATATATATATTTTTTATATGTACCGCATATACTCAAGTATAAGCTAACCGGAATATCAGCCAAGGCACCTTAATTTTACCACAAAAACTGCATTAAAAATGTGCTGAAAAACTCAGCTTATACACGAGTGTATACAGTATATTATTGTACGTATACTACAGGCATGTGTTTAATTCTGTTCCTTGTATGTGTTGTAAATCTAGGCCTATGGTTAAAATCTCGCTTAGGAATGGTTGTTTTGTTATATTAATAAGAAAGGGCTGTGTAGGGTATTTTGCGCAATCTCTTTGAAGATAGAACGAGTGAGCAGAGAGAAAGATGGGGTCAAATGGATATCAGGACGTCAGGAAACCGCCACGGTCCCCGGAAAGACAAGCTGAAGAGCCCAGGACTTTCCCCCAGAGCCAACAAAGCAAGAGTGTCTCCCCGGTGCCAGTGCCTTCAAGTCAGACTTCTCATCTCCTACATTGTGAAGAATAACTTTCATTTTGTTAAAACCATCCATTCGAGTGGCACAGAGCTAAAACAACTATATACCATATTATTGAAATCTACAACCCACTTATATATAAAGTAGTTAAGAGTCTTCTCAGTATTGTACCCACATTTATATAAAGATAAAAAGACCACATCCAAACTCTACAGCTATAAACACACACACACACACACACACACAATCATCAGACTGTCAGTTTGTCATACTGTGGTCACCAAGTATGCTGCTATGACTCTGAAAACTGGTATTTCAAACGCAAGCAAGGAAACCTATTTCAGTGGAGCATCCAGACTAAAACAGACGAGGAACAAAGGTCGAGTGGTCTATTTCCAAAATTTAGACAATGAATAGTCTACATAACAACAGAACATTGTCCAACTCATTTGTTTGAGTTACTTCAAAAAGAGGCATCAGTTGCTAGATCCCTTTCATAAAGTGTGTGTAGAGAGCCAAGAGACCACAGAAATGCCTTTGGTGAAAAGAATGGCAGAGTAGCCATAATGGTTCAAATATGGTGGTGACTGTGAAGATGATGCTGGGTTGGACAACATCCTTTTCCGTGGACATAAGGTCACCATGAGTCAGAATTAATTTAACGGTAATTCGCTCTGTGTGTGTGTGTGTGTGTGTGTGTGTGTGTGTGTAACAAGTATATATGTTTCAAGTACATAATATGCTGCAGGAGGACACGG